AGGCGAACTAGCTTGTCGCCAATTCTGCCGATGTGCTCAGACCTTGCCTTGGTAATGACGCTTAAAAACATCTATCAATCCAAAGATAGTATTTTAAATATGGATATCTGTAAACCCTTTCGACGAATTATTAAACAAAATAAAATGAAAGGTTACGAAAAGTTATACACATATACCACCTACTTGCTTCGGTGGTGCGACGAAAACTGAGCGCGTGTGTTGCGACTTATACAAAATCTATGGAAGATTTGCATTCGGAGCGGCTTTATTCCGTTCGGGATTCCGAACGCAAAGGTGGTCACACGGAATCTCGAATCCGAGAAAATTCCGTGTGGAGAATTACCGTACGTGTGTGGCGAATCATAGATTTTATATGGACTTGCTACGTTCGGAATACCGAATCGGAATCTCGAAACGGAATCCCGAAACGGAATTCCGTATGTATGTGGCCGGCCTAAGTGTAATGACATTTATGAAATTCACGGGACAGCGAAAGGTTTAATATAGCTGCAGCATGGCTCTACCACGAATATGGGATAGTGTACTCTTAACTCCACTACTACACGGAATTGATACAGTCCACTGGTGCATAATATATTCTCTCTTTACTCGGGAGAATAATATTAAGTTATCTCGATGTAACCTAATTGTATTTTTTTTTCTTAAAATGCAAGCGCATTTAAAATAAATATATTAAACAGACAATAAGGGTAACAAACACATGGTGTGTTAGGTGGATGCATCACAGTCTTTAAATATGTGGTAAACAGACGTGAGCGAGCTTTACTTACCTATATAACTATGGCTCATAAAAAGTCGCATTCGACGTAACTTTTTCGGTTAAATAATAAATTAAATTGACACGGTTAAATCATAAATTAAATCAATTTAAATCTTCTTAAACTAAGCAATCTGAAGTCAATCGTTAGAACTAAAAATCCACTTTGGTTTTAAATGTATCTGAAACGCGATTCGCCGGCAGTTGTATATTGCATCAGCGATAGAGAGGTTCGCAGGCAAATAAGCCGTTGATCCTGTTCGACGCCTGCCTTTCGACTGACAGTTCTGAAATCTTGCGATAACATGTTTCAGAGCCTCTAGCAAGCTGTAGTGATAACGGCGCATGCGTGGTGCAACTTTCTCCTCATAACTTCTTATAACAAGTTTACTTGCGTTCCTGTTAGTATAATTTGACATTTATTTCAATCACGCTCTGGTCACTCCGTGACCATGTTGCATTTGTACGATTATTACATTTCTGTTCGAAGGCGTTTAAAGAAAATTTACGGGTACGAATACATGTTGACAGTTGAAGTGCGAAGTTCGAGCTTTCTTAGAGTTTTAATTAAGGAAGGCCTCACGTACCCCTTTAGAGAATATCTCTTCAAACTGATAATGAATTTCATTTGTAAATTTATTTTTATTTAGAGAAATTGTAATAAATAATTTTTCTTTAGTAATACACTCGTATTTTTTTTGCCAGTGTCAATCAATAAAATATTATCCTTCATATCAATAATTAGTAACTTATAAAGCTTTATAAAGCGATTTTTCTGGAGCGCTACGATTTAGGGACTTTTTAAAAAGCTGGCAATGCATCTGCAATTCCCCTGGTGTTGCAGTTGTTCATGGGCGGCGGTAGTCACTTACCATCATGTAAGCTGCACGCTCGTTTGCTCCCTCTCCTATACAAAAAAAACTTTTTTCATTCTATTATATAGTATGTCAAATCAAAGCGCCTAAAAAGCAATATAACTTGAGTTTTATATCACCGTCGGCCTTTCGTTATGTACATTGTTCCTACTAACAGTTCGCAGACGTTCAAAATCCAATTTAACAAACCTTTATTAGAGAAAACAGAAGCATCTAATCGGCGCCAAAACTCCAGGATAAATATTTAATCATCATCTTCAAACTCTTTTAATTCTCTTATAGTAATTATTCATTTATAGCCAGTCCAACTAATTTCTTTTCTGCCTAGTTGTCCTTCTGGGTAGGTACGTAGGTACCATCCTTTTTTCTTAGTGTGACGATAAATAACAGTTCAGTATAGGTTAGGGTAAAGAAAGCTAGTATAATTACATACTTTGAGGTATTTCATCGTGGTCCTCTAAGATGAAAACACATCTGAAGCTTCTTTGTTTGAAATTGGCTGCTGGTGTCCAAGGTCTACAGCTTCCAGTTACTATAATGTGTACTATAAGTTCATTACCACTTCAATTTTATAAAAAAATATGAGTAGATAAGATATCACTACCTGTTTGAGCCGTTTGCTGTAGAGACCACTGTACGATGAAGAGTGTATGAGATGAGAGTGTAACTGTATTCGTGACGTGTATTTATCGCTGGCGATGAAAGTATAGCTTGCCTTGAGATTCCAGGCTTAAATCCAAAAATTAGACATTGGGTTTTTTCCTGTCAAGAAATTCTCGTTGGAATATGAGTGTGTCGGAATAGAAAGTGCACTTGTGCTTGCACACACACTCGTTATTCTCGTACCTTTGACGTTACTGCCCGTCGCTGGTCAAGATATTTTACGCCTAACGTAAACGAGACGATTATACCGCCATCTATCGCAAGCCATAGTATTTTTGGCGTTATCCATACTCGCCTATTACTATGCTCAGACTAAATTACTAGGCAAAACGGACTAATCAATTTCTATAAATTAAAAAAATGATTTTCTAATACCGTTCTTTAAAAGTATAATAAACAACCAGAACAATGATGTGAATAGGTTAGGTAAAATTCATGTCGCTTAATGTAAAATTATTTGTTTTAGATTGGTTTGCTTTATAATAATTTTAACTGTTTAGCAATATGAAATAGAGCTTGAAATATTAAAAAGGGCTGATGGCTTTCCGGCTCCACATTTCTAACATAAAATGCGCTCAGCCGGAGACCATTGCCAGCATTTCAATATTTTTTTTCATTAACGATGGCGTGGATGCGGTATATATATACACCGCATCCACGCCATCTTGTGGGTTTGGAAACGACTGGATCATGCCCAGGAGGAGGTTGCTTCCAATTATTGAACTACACAGTGTTAAAGAAACCACTAGCCCTACTATATTATTAATAACTAAATAACTATTAATAATAAAAAAATGGATTTCAAACAAACTATATTATATGAGGGACAGCGAATGCATATTGTTAATTTAATTAATAAATCTATTGTTTTTATATGATAAGGGAGATTTTATACAGATCGGTTCAGTCGTTACACTAAAAGAGGATTTTTAGAAGTTTCTAAGAATAGTTTCAGTGTTGGCTGAATTTTAAACAGATTTAAGGCAAGTAGCTATACGGTACTGAATCGAAAGCCTTTTGGTAATCGATAAACATTATGTGAATATCTTTCTTGCTTTTAACAGCGCCGTTCAAAATAATTGCATCAACAGTAAGTTGTTCTTTACATCCCTGGCTATCCTTGTGATATCCCTTTTGTTTTTTTGCTAAAATATTATTAAATATTTTATTTGGTTAAATGTTCGTATACATCGCTTACGCAGCCTGTTAATATTTTGTAAAACGTTTGTAGATATGTAATTGGTCGGTATTGCATTGGGCTTATGGTGTCATTCATGTCTTTAGGTATCATATATGTTACTCTGTGTGTTATATATGTTGGAAATAATTGTAGTTGGATGAATGTGTTTAGGTGGTTATGTATAAATGAATGTATGCAGTTGAGTTTCTTTGAGTTAGAGGACTTCTATAAATGTATCTATTAGTATAAACTCAAATTTTATTTCTGGAATTTCTGGTGTTGCCTCGTTGATCAAGTCTTCGTGATTATTATGCAATAATGGATTTTCCCAAATGTTGGCCCAGAATTCCCGCAGTATTTCGGACGGTGGTGTCTCCAGACTTTTGTAACTGGTGGCTGTGTTATTAGATGTAAGGTTTCTGTAAAATAATTTTTCATTGTTGGTATATTTTGTGTTTTGTACTTTGCGGTTCGTGCATGTATATCTTTTACTTCTACTGGATGCTGCGTTTAATTTTTGTTTCAAAGTGTCCAAAAAGTGTTTTATTACTGTACTCGAGTTTTCGGGTTGTGCGTGTATTTGTTATTTTCACGTTTTTCTTTTACTGCAGCTAATACTTTTTTACTTCTGCTACCGTTAATGATGTGTGTCAGTCTGTAATGATTTCTTGAAATTACGCGAACACTAGAAATGTAAATAAAATTAGTTTTACGGATTCTATCGCGTATAATAACTTATTATTATTTCCGACGTTTCGAGTACTTTACAGCACCCATGGTCACGGGGGGTACTGGGGTGTTTGACGTCTCAATGTCATAGTTAATCACGGCTACCTCCAGATTAAAAATTATAATTATATAATTATAATTTTTAATATCTACCGGCATAAACCTAGAGTTCATTAGAGCACGCAAGCCCCACCATGTCGTACCAACGTAGAGATAGATACAACGGTGGGGTTCTTATTATTATTATTATTATATATGCGATCATGCATTTTGGTCTTTTTTGTGGATTGGTGTAATAAATATTGTGTTATATACAAAAGGAACCAAGCTGTCATTTAGAGATAGAATAGTAAGAAGTGTCTTATAATTCGGTAACACGACGAATTTATATTTCATCAATTCCGCTTTCTGTATTTTTTGTAGTAAAAACTGACTGTGCCCGACTGTGACAAATAGGGAAATATTACGACGTGGCAACTAGGAACATCTCCCCCCTAGTAGACAATCTATGGGAGAGTCCTATGTTAAACAGAAAATTTTATAGGCTGTAATGGATGGATAATGGATCCATCCAGTTCTGGTATTTATCCGGCATGAATAATAAGGGATATATAACCTTAAGCTGGATAATAAGAGTCAGCATATAAGATCTTTCTCACTTCCTATAGTCATCTCTTAATACACCCACGAGGTGAAATAGGGTGATGTAAATTTTTGCGCGGCTACCACATGTAACTTATTTTACTAAAGGATAAAAAATAATTAAGGTCATGTTAAAATGTACAATCTTTTATGTTTTTTTTAAAAAACTTTATTTCATGTCAATTTTTTTAGTGTTTTTTAGCCTTAAACAAAACGTTTCTTTGTAATTTTTTCTCATTATTTTCTCCTCTCTATAGAAATGTTGTGACCACATACTGATTTCAGCACAACATCCAGCTTCAACCTTATCTTGGTATGATCTCCTTTCACGCGATAATGCCGTAGTACGTGAGATAGTGTAGTCTTCATCGACATTAAAGCGAATTGTTTTCCTGTGGGGTCACAAAGAAATTTTTCAATCGCTTAATTTTCTTTTGTTATAGTTATTATGAGGTAATGCTTCTTGCAGCTATATGATGTCTGTATTACGATTCGATCGACTCGTCAGGGGAAATGCCACGCTATCAGAGAATAATTGTGAAAAAAGACAAAACAAAATAGTGCTGCCATGTTTCGTATGGTGAGTGACGACAACTCTTTTTACTGGTAACGAGACCTACCATCTTATTCCTCAGAGTTGACAACGTACGTGCATTTTAGATTAATTCTTAACCAATCAAAATGTATGTAGGTGTCTGTGGTGTGTAAATAATTACTCCATCAACTCGTTTTTTGGGAACTTTTGTACTGTTAGCCTAGAGGCTGTTATAGGTTTTATACATAAAGTTACAGTAAATACCTACCAATTTCTTATTACTGTGTTCACAATAACAAGCCTAATATCACCATGTTATAAATGGATCGATTGGATGAAGTATTCCCAAAATACCATACATATTATACAAAAATTCATGAGCCAGAAACTCGAAAGAGATAATTATAGACATTTCCCAAACCGAGAAAATAATAAAAATTGTGAATCGCTAATGGTAAGTGAAACCATTCACTTTATATTTATTTATTCTGGGTATACATTAGTTTACTACACTTTCTTGTTTATTTAGTGGTCGTAAGCAAGAATGTTGACAATGAAATCTCAATCGCGGATCAAGAATGTTTCAGTAGTAGACCGCAGTTAGGAAGTTATTATTGTTTCACCACCGTGCCTCGGGAAGCAAGTAAAGGCGTTCGCCGTGCGTTTAGACTCTCTCATAAAGCTATGATTAAGAAGGAAATAAGATCACTCTGTCCTTGCACACACACTTGTGCATTATAATAATGTCCTGCGCAGATGGCTCGTATCCATTGAGAGTGACCAACGTAACCGAAATTCGGTTGTGATGACATTGTTATTATGCTGGACTAATATGGAAGTTTATAGTTTCCGTTTTGAAGTAGAAGTAAAGTTTTTCTTAAACTTATTTTCACTATTTACAAGGAGGAATTTGCAATATTTTTCACATACCGATACAAACTCTCTTTCCCATGCTAAAAGCAGCAAAAACAGTGGGGCAAGAAGGTAAAGTCGCAGTATCTAGCCATCGTTCTGGTTTGAATTCTACAGCGTCATCTCCCCACATTGGATGACGGTGGATACCATAAATCAAGAACAAACATGTCCGCCCAGCTGTAAGTGTATAATTCTCTGAAAAATAACATAGAATATTTTACGTATTTTATACATTGGAAATAATATGATGTAATAATGTTTGCAAGTTATAAAAAAATACAAATTTAGGGGATAAAGTGAGCATTTGGTTTTTGGGTTTTATGGTTAAAAAAATGCTTTTGTTGTAAATTTTTTCTATTTAAATAACCGTTGAAAAATTAAATCAGCTATTAACGCGATTTTGTAGCAGATAATAGCACTCAATTTACGTTAAAGGATCGGCTTTCAGGTAGCCAAAATATATACGTTAAAAACCTAACGTAAAACCTAACGTTAAACGTTAACGTTAAACGAAACGTTAAATGTGAAATTGTAATTCTACTAAAACAATTGCTACTAAGTTAATTTTTTTAATGGAGAGGGGGCAAATGAGCATGCGGCACACCTGATGGTCAGTGACTACCGCCGCCTATGAACAAATGCAACACCAGGGGAATTGCAGATGCGTTGCCGGCATTTTAAAAAGGAGTAGGCTCTTTTCTTGAAGGTCCCTAAGTTGTATCAGTCCGGAAAAATCGCTGGTGGTAATCGATTCCACAAGGAAGTTGTGTGAGGGAGAAAACTTATTCTAAATCGCACAGTGGTGGACCGCCAATCATCCAGATGATATGGATGGTATCGTGAGTTTTGTCGCGATATGCGATGGTGAAATTGAGCGGCTGAAATTAGACCGAACAATTCTTCAGAGCACTCCCCGTGATAGATGCGATAAAATACGCAAAGAGATGCAACATCTCTACGCAGTGCCAGTGAGTCAAGCCGATCGGAAAGAACTCGGTAGTCGACGATTCGAACTGCTCTGCGCCGGATACGGTCAATTGGAAGGAGCTGGAACTGGGGAGCCCCTGCCCAGAACTGGGAACAGAATTCCATGTGAGGCCGAACCTGCGCCTTATGAAGTTGCAATCGGCGTGCTGGCATGAAATACTATCCCGCCCTGCTCAGCACGCCAAGCTTTTTAGAGGCCAATTTGGCCTCCCCTTCCAAGTGACCACGAAACTACACGTCACTTGATACGTTCACACCGAGGATTCCGACACTGGCTGAGGCAACAAGGGGAGTGCCATGAAACTTTTTAGCGGTAAACGCGAAAACTCGTGTCTTCTGGGGAATGAACTGGACTAGATTTAGTCGCGGTACTCGGCGAAGTTTTCCCGAGAAATATTGGAACGGCCGGTGTATAAAGCATCACCTGTGCTGTCATCTGCATAGAAATGAATGTTACTGATTTGCAATATATCAATAATATGCAGAAGAAACAGCGTTGTTGATAGCACGCAGTCTTGTGGAACACCAGCGTTAATGGGCTTGTAATCGAAACATGCACCGTCTACTACGACCTTGATGCTACGATCTGCAAGAAAACTGGGGATCCAATTGCACAATTTCTCGGGAAGCTCATAGGAAGGCAGCTTCGAAAGAAGCGCTTTGTGCCATACCCGATCGAAAGCCTTCGCTATGTCCAAACTAACGGCCAACGCCTTCCCCTTAGACTCCACTGCCTCCACCCATCTATGAGTTAGGTAACCTAGCAAATCACCAGCTGAGCGACCTCGACAGAAACCATACTGGCGGTCACTAATTAGTTGCTGATCCTCAAGATACCGCATGAGCTGGCTGTTAATAATGGTTTCCATTACTTTGGAGAACATGGAGGTGATAGCGATAGGCCTGTAGTTGGAGGGATCTGAGCAGTCGCCTTTTTAGGGATCGGGTGCACCAAAGCTGTCTTCCATGAGTTCGCGACTACGCCTAGGGAGTAGGAGTACCAAAAAAGACGCGTTAAAACCGTTGCCAACTCCGGAGCATACGTCTTCAGCACAATAGGTGGGACTCCATCAGGCCCACTCGACTTGTTGACGTCCAGGGAGAGGAGTTCTTTTCTCACCAAGCGCTGTGTAAAAAGCACTTCCCGCATGGAGCACTCACACCGCGGGATGGTCGGCGGTGTGTTCCCCCCGTCATCTAGAGTCGAGTTGGAAACAAAAAGAGAGCCTAGCAGATCGGCTTTCTCCTTTGCATCATGGGCCAGTGAGTCGTCCAACCTGTGCAGAGATGGCAGAGATGGCTGACAGATGTTCCCTTGGGATCCTTGGCGAGAGACCAGATTGCACGTGTTCCCGAAGGGAAGCGAACTAGTTTCTTGCCAATTCTGCCGATGTGCTCTGACTTTGCCTTGGTAATGTCTCTTTTGAAGGACCTGGAGGCGGAATTATACCCCTTTCTAAGAGCGCTGGTGTTAACACCCCGGAACGTTGATGCGTCAGCCCAGGCTTGGTAGCACTACTGCTTATAGCGTGATGCTATTTTACAGGAACGACCAAACAATGGCTGGGATCTGCCTTCGATGGGCACCACAGAGGTTGTAATAAAAAGTTCCATAGCCTGAAGTACCACATCAGCAATTGAATCGGCAATAATGCTGAGATGTTTTGGCGAGAAGCAAACCCGCCCCCAAGGGTAGGATGCAAAAAAAGACCGCATCCCATCCCAATCGTCCGACCTATAAGTGCCAAACACGGCGGCAAGCTGCACATCGCAACTGCGATGGGAGCGTGAGTAGCACCGTACTCCGGATTAGACTATGGTCAGGGAAGCCCAGAGGGGCATCAACGGAGACCTGATATCCGTCCAGATGAGAGGTCAGCAAAAGTTCCAACAGGGAAGGTACATGATTCTCCACATCTGTTTGTTTGTTGTTTTAGACCATATGCCAAGGCAAAGTCATAGACATATCTACCCGCATGATCGGTTAAACGGGAACCAAGCCATTCAGCGTGGTGGGCGTTAAAATCACCGAGTATCACAATCTCTGCGGATGGGACCTGTTGTAGCACGGAGTCTGCAGCCATTTGGATGTGGTCGATGAGTCGGTCTGTGTCGGCATTACCGCTATGGGACATATAGAGGCACCTATAGACGCGGGGATGGTTATCACTGTCTACGCGCCGCCATAGGATGGACGTACCTGCAAGACTGCCGAGGCGTCGAAAACAGATGTCCCCTCTGACGTATACGCAAACTCCAACCCGGGGCGCAAAGGAGTGTTAAAATTTGTATCCCGGGTAGGAGAGATATGAAATATCAGCCGGAGAGGACACCTGAGTCTCGGTTAAAAAGAGCAAGGCCGGCTTCGCCGTGCCTTGATTGCTTCGCTTGCCCCGAGCAGTATTAGTCGCGAATTTCCATCCCCCCCCCCATCTACCCGCTCCCCAGAATACGCTGGGTAGCCTGAGCACCCACGCTCAGGAGTGGAGTAGTTTGGTCGTGGATGTTCACCGAGGGATTCTCCAGGGGTGCTGGTACCCTCCTGTGTAGTCTTTTATTTAATTCCACTACCATGTTGATGGGAGGGCGAGGGGGGGGGGGGGAATTGGGCCTCCAGCCACCTGCACTCACCAAGCGTAACACAGAGGTAAACCTCTACTTCACGCTGGTATTCTGTGAGGTCGTCGTACCCACCCCGGTTTGAGCCAGGCCATCCGTGCGACAGCAAAAGCTGCCGCGTGGCTCTACCACTGTTGTAAATATTGATCTTAATATCTAGCTGTTAAATTAACCATTTTAATAAACCATGCATTAATTTTATGAAATATATCAAGATCATATTTAGATTACAAAAGATTTTATCTTACTCAGCTTCACATTTTTATCAAGTCTTCTCGCTGTCACTGGAACTATTGAATATAAGCGCATGGATTCCTTCAAAACAGCTTCTAAATACACTAAGCGAGATAAATCTTGTTTAGTGACGTCCCTGTCGTCCTCTCCGAAGACATTATGTAATCTAGAAAATAAAAAGCTATTTATATTAATATATAACACATTCGAGGGATACCCTCATTCTGGTAGGTGCGTTATAGAATCAACATAGTAAGATCTTATCTATGTGAATCCAAAAAGTTAAGTGATGCCCCGTTATAAAAGCAAAAATCCACTGAATGTAGGTGACTCAAGACCGTGTTTTTCGGTTAGTCCGATGTTTTTAAGTGTATCAAAAACGACTTGAGTGATGAGTCTGATGAGTGATGCTAAAATGATGATACAATAGAATTTAAGGTTTTTAGTAGAATAGTGCATGCACTTATAATTAAATGTTATAAAAATGTTTCTCTAATAGAAGAAAATGTTCACAACAGCCGAAAATTTATTCTAGTTGTGGTATATAGGTATTTTAGTGTAGTGTATGTACCTCCACCCTACTAGTAGTATAAGAAATACATGTACTTTTAAGTTGATTGATCAGTATAATTAAAGTCTTCAACTGGGAACCACGTCTTCTATTCATTAAACACCTTTCCTATATTACATGGCGACCCTGCCAGGCGGTGCGCTGCGACAATGCATGCGCACCGCCGGGGCCTACGACATAAAAAAAAGATAAATAAAAATATTATAAGAAATTTAAATTAAATAATGAAGTGAAATGACAGATAAAAGAAATATTATAACGGAATGGACGCAATACCGGATGTGACGAAAAATTAATAAATATGAATACGAGAAGAGGCCACAATAATAATTGACTGAAAATTTAAAAACTATAACGTATATGAAGTAATATAATATATTTATCTTTAATATCACTATGAAGGTAACTAAGAAATAATAATAAGAATAAAAAGTGATTTCTTAAATAATGATCAAAGACCCAAACTCAAGAAACAGCAAATTAATTTAATAAGGAAAGGAGCAGTTGTACTTTAGCGAGCTTTGTCCAGTAAGATATGAAAATTAAACCGAAAAGAAAAAAAGAAGATATAAGAGGTATCATCGCATCAGCGTAATTTTCAACATTTGATTTTAATAATTTTTTATTATGTTTTATATTAAATAAATAAGTAATGCATTAAATATTTAATGTACGGTATTTACAAGTAACTTGAATTTAACATTTTATAATATTTACAATATTTTAGTAGGTATTCTATTAAAAAATAATACAATATATTAAGTTACATTTTAAAATGACAAGATTCGTATTAAAGTAAATATATTTTTAAATTCAGCCCAATTTTTTTCCGTGATAAATTTTATTTAAATGTAAGTATACAATTTTGAGAAGGGTTTTATAAAAAAAAAAATCGCTGTTAATAAGTCATAGTTATTTTTCTTCTTTTCTAAAGGCATGAAAACCTTAAAGTAACTATATAAATAAATAGATAACCTTTAATAAATGACCTAAAAGTTAATATAACCTGCTTAAAAATCAAAAATTGGAAATAACTTAATGTTTTGTTTAATATAAATTTAGCTGTAATAGTGATTACAAATTATTTTCTGTAGGTTATACGGTTTCGTAAATTTCTAGAAATCCTAAATTTTTATATGTAAATTAAATGTATAACTAATGCTATTATATTTTTCGTTATAATTAAAAGTAATAGCGATGCGATGTAATTATACTATAAAATTATGTGTCAGAAAATATTTAAAAGTATCATTTTAATGTGATAAGGAAAATAATCATTAAAAGAGGTTTTAATAATAATGTGTCTTAACAAAGTTAAATATGGAGACGAAAAATTGACATATATTACCTCATTTTTTTGTACAATATTAAAAAGTATATATTTAAAAGGCGTGAGGAATGAGAGAAGGAATGTTCAAATGTGTGGATACGAATGATTGAATTGCTACGTTTCGTCAATATTGGACTGATCACCCAAATATTTGATGATGCTTAAAATCCTGGTATTGAAACCATTATGAGCGAGAATCATGACAGTTAGTAATAGAAATGGAGTATGAAAGTATATAAAAGTTACCGATACAGTCAAGTAGATAACAGCAGGTACTATAAAGATAAAGAAAGAAATAAAAATTTACGAAGACAATCAAAATAAAATAAAAGATAACCTTGATAAATAAATCATGGTGAGATACGGGAACGTCCATCACTGGCAAAGCATATAGTCCTCGAGCAGGGTATGTTTCCATGATTGGATGATAAAATCGGAAGTAACGGGTACTAGGGAACAATATCTTCAGTACAAGTGAGATGTGAACGAGTTTACTCATATTAATACTGATATGGACCAGAGAAGTCTTAAATTTGTTACCCTTAATAGTGGTACACAGAGGTCATATCCTTCATTGGATCATAGTGTGAACTTAGTTTTCCTCCGTGACAATTGTTGGAGTCCTTTTAAAATGATTTAAAAGTTGACCTCGAGGTTGTGCGCACAACCCAAGGTATAGTTTTACCTTGATATAGTATGATAAAAAAAAGTTTATGTACCAATAAAATGAAATGAATGTTATGAAAAAGTAATATAATACCCAAGTAAATGGGGGGCCCAAATTTATAAAGTACCCGCGTGATAAATATCACGAAATAAAATATAAATGAAGTGAATTAATACTCCGATTCCCGGTATCTAATTAATAAATAAATATTAAGGAGAGAGAATACTAAAAGAAATAAAGCTAGCTAAAGGTCAAAATATAAGAAAGAAATAAAGTACGTACAACAATTATGAAAAAAAAATAGGCCTGACAATCAAAAAGGAATGTAATGAGATGTGCTTATCTATGGAGATGTGCTAGTATGAAAATAATTAATGGAATCCCCGCCCAAAGCAAAAAATCAACCACAGTAAAAAAAAATGATAAATACGTTTTCGCTTAGATATATTTTATATGAATTTGCAAAACTTTTTCATATTTTCAATAACTCTACCCTAAATTTCTCTTAGTTTTTTTGGTTAATGTAAAATTTTTACAATTTTAAACGAAATTTTGTATATTAGTTATTAAAAACAAGTCGAAAGTGTATCTACTCTATTATTTTAAGTTTCGTAACTTGTGTTAATATATATTTTGTTTTTGTTTAAACAAACTTTAGGTATTTAATAGCGTATATTTTAAATTTCTGTCTCAATTAAGATAAACATATTCCATAAAAGTTATAAAATAAAAAAGTAGTAATGTGTTTTCGACTATTATAAATAACTTAAATAATAAATACTTGATAATGTATGTAAACCTATTATCACAATGAAATGTTACTACCTAAACTGTGTAAATGATTATATTCACGATATCATTTTATTGTATTGTTGAAAGTAGGTACCATCATATGATGTAATCTCAAACGTTTCCATATAGGTACGTGTAATTTGGAATTTAAAACAAAGGTGTCACAAATCGCTTACGCGGCTGGGAGCACAACATTTATTTTGATCTGTCTGTTGTTATGTTAACAAAAATGATTAGGTACGTTGCTTTGCATTGACTTCTTTGTTCTGGATATCTAAATATGAAATGTAATAAATTATTTAGGCATAATATTGATTGAACTTTCAAAATATCATAAACTTTCATCTATTACAATTTATTATTTTCTGAGATAATAGTAGAGTAATGCCAACTTAGTTGTATGGATTATGAAAATAATTACTTTATTTAATACGATTTTGAAACTCATTATACTATGTTTGCAATTAATTAATTTAAATTTTATTGTTACCAAAATAATATTGTGAGCCTCAATCCCTGACTGACAATGATATATGTACCTAAATATTATACGAGACTATATTGTGATATAAATTTGTAATGCCTGTAAAATAGTAAAAAAAATATTATATATTTATTATATTGCCTAATTATGTCAAATATGTATGTTGTATTTCAACAATTGAACACAAGCGATCTAATTATTGAGCACAAGCTTTATGTTTTTAATTCATTACCAATTATGGCGAATGGTATCATCGGTCGAGATCTATTAAAAAAAATATCGATCAGTTTCGCATTTTGATTCGAATATATTAATATTATATGACCATATAGGTAGATCATAATATAACTTATTTCACACACTTGTAATAATTCCTTGGCAAGTTTTTTTTTCTTTTATTTCACTAATTTGATAAGACGGGTTAAGATACTTAAAGTTTTGTGTTGAATGGCATGGATTGTATAATTTATTGAGAGATTTAACTGATAAAAATAAATTCTGTGAGTATTATACACATTGGTTAGAGTAAATTGATATGGGTATTAACTTATTTCAGTAATGAAAATATATTGGAATGTTAATAGGTAAAGCACAAGATCTGGTAGATAATTAGCATTTCAGTGATAGTCGGGTGCGCAAACGAGTATTATGGAAATGCTAAAAAGTCAATGAGAACTTTTCGTAGACATCAGGTTTTTTGAAAGGATAAAAAGTACATATAATATGATGTCAAATTAATTGCAAAACGCATTATTATTGATGCCCACCTATATACCTACTTGATCATGTTAACACGTTGTTGTAACGTTGATTAGTACCAAAAATAAGACAGGTTTAATGACGTACGAAATAAAATCTCATGCGTATCCTGGATTGACTCAATAATATTATGTATAACCTGACCTGATCATGATCATGAGATTATAAACTTTTTTTTAATGAATTAATTTTATATTTTGTTTAACTGCTTTATTTTACTCAATTGAGGAATTATATAAATTTAATGGCTAAGTAACATTGTATTTTATGTTACTCTTCATTATTAAATTTATTATTATGTAATAGGATTCAGGGGTCATATAATATTATAATTAAAGATTTCAATTCACAATGTAATTTACATGTAATCATAAATCAATTTTTTTATTATATCTATCACGGAAATAAAATGCAAGAAA